GCCCGAGGGCCAAGGGTCAGTAGGGGGCCCCATGAGATGCCCCTGGTACCTTTTTCATAGACTTTTTTGAGTTTGGGCAAGGACACGGGCCCCATGATCCCCTATTGCCCGGGGGCCCCATGAGTTGTCAGTCTGCCCTGGTTAGGACCCTGGACCCCAGACCCCCTCATACCATTCCTGCTAATAGAACGTCTCACTGCTTTATCCAAAAGTCTGCACAGAGCGAAAAGTCAAATTAGAGGATTAGAGGCATCCCCTGTAGCAGGCGCTTCATAGCTGCCGATATACCAGGGCTGATGTACTACATTACAGGGTGTAGTGAATGAGGTGAAGGTGTGCCGACTTCAGTGACCCCACCACATCTCAGTGATTGGGTATTCAGCACCGCTTCCCCTCATTCACCAATCCAAGTTACGACTCACTCTGCAAAGCAAGCATGCCGACTCCTTTAGTGAATCGACCCCGTTACCCAAGACTCTTCACGACTCAAGGGGTGAAGGTGGTTCCATTTACAACATGGAGACGGCTCAGGTGGTGATGAAGGCAGACCCTTCCATTCAGCAGTCAGCTCAAGAAAGAGCTCACCGTAAGGAGGACCGAGTCAAACGTCAGCTTCTCCGGAGCAAAAATTATTTATGAATGTTAAAGACCCCAAAGGGGGCGGAGCTCCTCTACAAAAGCAGAGTTCTACCTTAAATGCAACTCCAACCAGGTTGAAGCACATCGCTGTCCACCGCCCGCTGCCCCTTCTTCTACAATGTGCCTAAAGGGGGACTACACGGCATCTGGGCACCACACACCAAAAGAGCGATCTAATTCATTTTTAATACTGAAAGTGAATTTCCCCATCCATTCATGTCTCCCCATCCATCCATCCATGTCTCCCCATCCATCCATCCATCCATGTCTCCCCATCCATTCTTCCATGTCTCCCCATCCATTCTTCCATGTCTCCCCATCCATCCATGTCTCCATCCATCCATCCATTCTTCCATGTCTTCTCATCCATGTCTCCTCATCCATCCTTCCATGTCTCCATTCATCCATGTCTCCATCCATCCATCCATTTCTCCATCCATCCATCCATCCATTCTTCCATGTCTCCATCCATCCATGTCTCCCCATCCATTCTTCCATGTCTCCATCCATCCATGTCTCCCCATCCATTCTTCCATGTCTCCATCCATCCATCCATCCATGTCTCCCCATCCATTCTTCCATGTCTCCCCATCCATCCATGTCTCCATCCATCCATCCATTCTTCCATGTCTTCTCATCCATGTCTCCTCATCCATCCTTCCATGTCTCCATTCATCCATGTCTCCATCCATCCAACCATTTCTCCATCCATCCATCCATCCATCCATCCATTCTTTCATGTCTCCATCCATCCATGTCTCCCCATCCATTCTTCCATGTCTCCATCCATCCATGTCTCCCCATCCATCCATGTCTCCATCCATCCATCCATTCTTCCATGTCTTCTCATCCATGTCTCCTCATCCATCCTTCCATGTCTCCATTCATCCATGTCTCCATCCATCCATCCATCCATCCATCCATGTCTCCATCCATCCATCCATTCTTCCATGTCTCCATCCATCCATGTCTCCCATCCATTCTTCCATGTCTCCATCCATCCATGTCTCCCCATCCATTCTTCCATGTCTCCATCCATCCATTCTTCCATGTCTCCCCATCCATTCTTCCATGTCTCCCCATCCATCCTTCCATGTATCTATCCATCCATGTCTCCATCCATCCATGTCTCCATCCATCCATGTCCCCATGCTTTATTTTGCCAAAAAAACACCCCCCTAGCATATCTGACTGTAGCCATCTTGAGTAAGGCTTTTTCCACTGGAATTTAGTATACTGGGGGGGCTACAGACCCCGCTGAGCACCCACATTCAACGAAGGTGACCTGATGACTTCCTGGGCTGCTCTCCTATATTAACATTGACTTTTCATAGACTTTAATCCAACAATATGGAGGCATTCTGATGGCTCCACTTCCTCATCCCAGTAGAATGGGTTCCTGGGTGCAATCTGGGCAACTTGGTGGCTTATTGGTCAGCTCCTCTGCTGGAAGGTTAGCTGGCTCAACTGAGTGCGCCCAAGATGGCTGCCTCGCCTCCTAAGCATTTTGAGCCCAAATAAACAATTAAAACACCAACAAACACACATGTCCCATCATGGAGCCAACTTCATAGGAACAATGGGTTGTATTCTACAGAACGTTCTGTTTTGTCGTTCAGGACGCAGATTTATGTTGCGGACAAACATTTTATATTATGTTTCCTTCAGCTGTATATGAAATTCAGAAGCTCCATCTGTTAATCACTTTGCAGTCGTTTATACACCCCAACCCCCCGCCACCCCCACCCCCACCCCAAGAGACGATCTGCATTAGGAGAAGTGTGAGAAGAGGAGATGGAGGCAGAATCTTGGGAACACCATCCCGGCCAAGACTTCTTCTGTCTGAATGAAAAACTGAAACACGGGAGGAAAGGAAGAAACAATACTTCTAATATTCATAGACTGATCTGCTAAAATATTTATAATTCCTTTAAAAGAAGAAAAAACCCGGAATGTAGGAATTGTAAAGCCTGACTCTAGCAGGTGAAGTGGGGTTTCTCATCACTGGTCTCTAATTTGGGGCGCCGGTCTCACCTAAGGTAACCTCTGCTTACGCATTTCTTCTCTTCATCCTTTGCGGAGCTCAAGTGGCGTGAATTCATGAAAAGGTTGACTAGCCGAGGGGCTGGGGGTGGCATTGCTGGACATAGAGGTGTCAACGTGAGGGCCACCATGCCCAACAATCAGTCTGATGGGTACCAACACATTATATTTGTTTGAAACAAAGAAAACAATAAGCAGTGTGAAGACAGGAGGAGCATTTTGGATGAAAACGTCTTTTTGTGAATCGGCCAACAAGAGGCAGCTGGCTCTGCAGAGACGGATAAAAGTCAAAGCGTGACATTTCCTTTAGAACGCAATGTCCTCGGCCTTTGACTGTCACCCACCTATCATGAGACTGACTGCAGCCGGGACCCAAAACCTCTTCCAGCCATCTATTATCATGCTGGAGAACTCCTGAGAGGTGCGAGGAACCTACATGTGTCCTCTATGTAGATTCCCTGAAATGTGAGAATTATTCTCAACACAGAGGACCCCGGAAATAACTTTCTGGTCTCAGGGAACCCCTTAGAGAAATGATTATATCTACAAATCATGATACATTGGTGTGAAGGTCAGTGGGACAAATGTCCCTTACATGGGGGGTCAGTGGGGAAGAATGTCCCTTACATTGGGGGTCAGTGGGGAAGAATGTCCCTTACATGGGGGGTCAGTGGGAAGAATGTCCCTTACATTGGAGGTCAGTGGGAAGAATGTCCCTTACATTGGGGGGGGTCAGTGGGAAGAACGTCCCTTACATTGGGGATCAGTGGGAAGAATGTCCCTTACATTGGTGGTCAGTGGGAAGAATGTCCCTTACATTGGTGATCAGTGGGAAGAATGTCCCTTACATTGGGGATCAGTGGGAAGAATGTCCCTTACATTGGTGGTCAGTGGGAAGAATGTCCCTTACATTGGGGATCAGTGGGAAGAATGTCCCTTACATTGGTGGTCAGTGGGAAGAATGTCCCTTACATTGGGGGTCAGTGGGAAGAATGTTCCCTTACATTGGGGATCAGTGGGAAGAATGTCCCTTACATTGGTGGTCAGTGGGAAGAATGTCCCTTACATTGGGGGTCAGTGGGAAGAATGTCCCTTACATTAGGGGTCAGTGGGAAGAATGTCCCTTACATTGGGGGTCAGTGGGAAGAATGTCCCTTACATTGGTGGTCAGTGGGAAGAATCTCCCTTACATTGGGGGTCAGTGGGAAGAATGTCCCTTACATTGGGGGTCAGTGGAAGAATGTACCTTACATTAGGGGTCAGTGGGAAGAATGTCCCTTACATTGGGGGTCAGTGGGAAGAATGTCCCTTACATTGGGGGTCAGTGGGAAGAATGTCCCTTACATTGGGGGTCAGTGGGAAGAATGTCCCTTACATTGGTGGTCAGTGGGAAGAATGTCCCTTACATTGGGGGTCAGTGGGAAGAATGTCCCTTACATTGGGGATCAGTGGGAAGAATGTCCCTTACATAGGGGGTCAGTGGGAAGAATGTCCCTTACATTGGGGGTCAGTGGGAAGAATGTCCCTTACATTGGAGGTCAGTGGGAAGAATGCCCCTTACATTGGGGGTCAGTGGGAAGAATGTCCCTTACATTGGTGGTCAGTGGGAAGAATGTCCCTTACATTGGAGGTCAGTGGGAAGAATGCCCCTTACATTGGGGGTCAGTGGGAAGAATGTCCCTTACATTGGGGGTCAGTGGGGAGAATGTCCCTTACATTGGGGGGTCAGTGCGAAGAATGTCCCTTACATTGGGGGTCAGTGGGAAGAGTGTCCCTTACATTGGGGGTCAGTGGGAAGAGTGTCCCTTACATTGGGGGTCAGTGGGAAGAGTGTCCCTTACATTGGGGGTCAGTGGGAAGAATGTCCCTTACATTGGTGATCAGTGGGAAGCATGTCCCTTACATTGGGGGTCAGTGCGAAGAATGTCCCTTACATTGGGGGTCAGTGGGAAGAGTGTCCCTTACATTGGGGGTCAGTGGGAAGAATGTCCCTTACATTGGGGGTCAGTGGGAAGAATGTCCCTTACATTGGGGGTCAGTGGGAAGAGTGTCCCTTACATTGGGGTCAGTGGGAAGAATGTCCCTTACATTGGGGGTCAGTGGGAAGAATGTCCCTTACATTGGAGGTCAGTGGGAAGAATGTCCCTTACATTGGGGATCAGTGGGGAGAATGTCCCTTACATTGGGGGTCAGTGGGAAGAGTGTCCCTTACATTGGGGGTCAGTGGGAAGAATGTCCCTTACATTGGGGGTCAGTGGGAAGAATGTCCCTTACATTTGAGGTCAGTGGGAAGAATGTCCCTTACATTGGGGGGTCAGTGGGAAGAATGTCCCTTACATTGGGGGTCAGTGGGAAGAATGTCCCTTACATTGGGGGGTCAGTGGGAAGAATGTCCCTTACATTGGTGGTCAGTGGGAAGAATGTCCCTTACATTGGTGATCAGTGGGAAGAATGTCCCTTACATTGGGGGTCAGTGGGAAGAATGTCCCTTACATTGGGGGTCAGTGGGAAGAATGTCCCTTACATTGGGGGTCAGTGGGAAGAATGTCCCTTACATTGGTGATCAGTGGGAAGAATGTCCCTTACATTGGGGGTCAGTGGAAGAATGTCCCTTACATTGGTGGTCAGTGGGAAGAATGTCCCTTACATTGGGGGGTCAGTGGAAGAATGTCCCTTACATTGGGGATCAGTGGGAAGAATGTCCCTTACATTGGTGGTCAGTGGGAAGAATGTCCCTTACATTGGGGGTCAGTGGGAAGAATGTCCCTTACATTAGGGGTCAGTGGGAAGAATGTCCCTTACATTGGGGGTCAGTGGGAAGAATGTCCCTTACATTGGTGGTCAGTGGGAAGAATCTCCCTTACATTGGGGGTCAGTGGGAAGAAATGTCCCTTACATTGGGGGTCAGTGGGAAGAATGTCCCTTACATTGGGGGTCAGTGGGAAGAATGTCCCTTACATTGGGGGTCAGTGGGAAGAATGTCCCTTACATTGGGGGGGTCAGTGGGAAGAATGTCCCTTACATTGGGGGTCAGTGGGAAGAATGTCCCTTACATTGGTGGTCAGTGGGAAGAATGTCCCTTACATTGGGGGTCAGTGGGAAGAATGTCCCTTACATTGGGGATCAGTGGGAAGAATGTCCCTTACATAGGGGGGTCAGTGGAAGAATGTCCCTTACATTGGGGGTCAGTGGGAAGAATGTCCCTTACATTGGAGGTCAGTGGGAAGAATGCCCCTTACATTGGGGGGTCAGTGGGAAGAATGTCCCTTACATTGGTGGTCAGTGGGAAGAATGTCCCTTACATTGGAGGTCAGTGGGAAGAATGCCCCTTACATTGGGGGTCAGTGGGAAGAATGTCCCTTACATTGGGGGTCAGTGGGGAGAATGTCCCTTACATTGGGGGTCAGTGCGAAGAATGTCCCTTACATTGGGGGTCAGTGGAAGAGTGTCCCTTACATTGGGGGTCAGTGGGAAGAATGTCCCTTACATTGGTGATCAGTGGGAAGCATGTCCCTTACATTGGGGGTCAGTGCGAAGAATGTCCCTTACATTGGGGGTCAGTGGGAAGAATGTCCCTTACATTGGGGGTCAGTGGGAAGAATGTCCCTTACATTGGGGTCAGTGGGAAGAATGTCCCTTACATTGGGGGTCAGTGGGAAGAGTGTCCCTTACATTGGGGGTCAGTGGGAAGAATGTCCCTTACATTGGGGGTCAGTGGAAGAATGTCCCTTACATTGGAGGTCAGTGGGAAGAATGTCCCTTACATTGGGGATCAGTGGGGAGAATGTCCCTTACATTGGGGGTCAGTGGGAAGAGTGTCCCTTACATGGGGGGTCAGTGGGAAGAATGTCCCTTACATTGGGGGTCAGTGGGAAGAATGTCCCTTACATTTGAGGTCAGTGGGAAGAATGTCCCTTACATTGGGGGGTCAGTGGGAAGAATGTCCCTTACATTGGGGGTCAGTGGGAAGAATGTCCCTTACATTGGGGGTCAGTGGGAAGAATGTCCCTTACATTGGGGGTCAGTGGGAAGAATGTCCCTTACATTGGTGGTCAGTGGGAAGAATGTCCCTTACATTGGTGATCAGTGGGAAGAATGTCCCTTACATTGGGGGTCAGTGGGAAGAATGTCCCTTACATTGGGGGTCAGTGGGAAGAATGTCCCTTACATTGGGGGTCAGTGGGGAAGAATGTCCCTTACATTGGTTTGTCAGTGGGAAGAATGTCCCTTACATTGGGGGTCAGTGGGAAGAATGTCCCTTACATTGGTGATCAGTGGGAAGAATGTCCCTTACATTGGGGGTCAGTGGGAAGAATGTCCCTTACATTGGTGCTCAGTGGGAAGAATGTCCCTTACATTGGGGGTCAGTGGGAAGAATGTCCCTTACATTGGGGGTCAGTGGGAAGAATGTCCCTTACATTGGGGGTCAGTGGGAAGAATGTCCCTTACATTGGGGGTCAGTGGGAAGAATGTCCCTTACATTGGGGGTCAGTGGGAAGAATGTCCCTTACATTGGGGGTCAGTGGGAAGAATGCTCCTTACGCTAAAAGGATCAATGGTGTCAATGGGAACGTATCTGAGAGGCAGAAATGACCGGTCGCTCCAGGAACATCTAGCAACCCTTGAAGGAACCTGGTCTACATAATTTTCTGTCTAACATCACAATCCCGTCACCCCCCCCCCGCACACCATTTCAAAATTCAGCTCTGACAGCAGGAGTGGCTGCCCGGCCTGCTGGGAGAGGAGAGCGGGGCTGAGTGACACATTCATATTTGCAGCCACTCTGGGTGACACTCTCATATTTCAAGGTATTTACAG